TGACAGAAGTGCAGAGGTAATGATACCCGACCTGACAAAAGCTTGGGAGTGAATGCGCGAAGTGGTTATCAAAGGCTCTCTTCCCCCCCAAGAAGAAGGTATGTGATAACTTTGCGCCATCTGGTTTTTTATCTTGCCTTTGAGGAAATACTAACTTGAGGTTCGGAGCACTCTCACCGGGTTCTTCCCCGAAGATTACTCGCTTTCTCCTCCGTTTCTGGCACCTTTTACTCCAACCAGAGGCAAGATCGTTGACAATTAGGACCGGCCAGATTGCGCTCCCTCAATTAGTAATTATAGATATTTTACGTGGGGTAGATCAATATTTTATTACGTAAGAAATTTTGGGCCAGACCGGAAAAGCTATTTAACATCCTGAAATTCTCATAGCCCATTAAACCTATAAAGACTGCAGAGTTTTGGCCTAAAACTACTTTATGAATTACCGATAGTAGCTGAACAAAGGATGATATTCTCACTGAAATGGATGAATCATGTTCAGAAAAATAAACAAAAAGGTGAATCACGAAATACCTAATTGCCTTAAATACCCATGAAGCTACAAGTCGATTTAGCAAATTATGTAGATAAATTAGGCCCTTATTCTCTTAGATCACTGAAAAACCAGCAAAACGTAAGTGTCAATTACGAAGAATTGCACACTTGGTAACACTGAAGAGCACATCCGCCCTAGCAAGCTATAGAAAAACCAAACAAAAATAGATCAATTCATGTCTGGGAGAATTGGACCAAGATTGATCCACATCAATAAACAAGTATGGTTAAAATGTAACATGGCAATTCCCATTTTTTTCATGTTCTTTCCACTCAAACTCGATGTAGAAGTCTCAATCTTGGTTGGGTTGCAATTTTCAAGCCTAAACCTTCTTTTTTTTTTTTTAGTGCATTTCAAGCCCATCTGATTTTTTTTTCTTGGGTACACTTATGGGCGCCCGAATCTTTTTCATTGTGACAATCATTCCAAAGCCAAGGTGGGTTTGACCAGATTAGGTTGTATTGAGTCCATCCAAAATTTTACTTACTCGCACGGTTGCACCTGTATTCTTTGGTCTAAATCAAAACTTAACCGGTTAACCCATTGATGAGTTAATTTGTTGGCATTCCCTAAAATTAAGATATTTTGTAGTGAAAAAAGGAAACAAAGTAAAAATTTTCAAGATGCCAAACGCCACCCTGCAATTACAAGGTGCAACTGTGAAAAGAATGATGATAACCCAACACAAGACCAAGGGATCCCACTTGTGAAGAATGGTGATAATCATCTCCCATGCATTACGCCTGTTTAATTTGTTGGGAGGCTCCTCTACATTCTGCAATTATTTTAACAACAAAAGATGGGACCAGTTCAATGCCTTAATTATTCTTCTTCCCAGTTCCCAAATCCCAAGCACTCGAAGAGAAAGAAAGTAGAGAGAAAGATTGCTGATTTTCTGGCTGGTATCTGATCTGGACTAATCTTCCCCCTCTTCTTCTCTGTCCCTAGGGACTGCACCAAAGTGATTTATCAGTATGTCTACAACCAAAGGCACCAAATCCTTACAAGGGACTGACTTCTTATAAACATCACCCAAATGGGAGTCACTCCCAATCCTCCCACCTAAGAAAACATCCACCCCTTCACACGCCTTCCCGTTCTCATCCCTAGTCATACACCCCATAAACCCAATGTCGGCCACTTGGACCTGCCCGCAGCTGTTTGGGCACCCAGTCCAGTGCATTCTCACCGGCCGAGTCACGGCTACTCGCCTCTCGACCTCCTCTGTCACCTTCAATGCCCTGGCTTTGGTCTCGATAATTGCTTGCCCGCAGAACTGGTTGCCCGTGCAGGCCACCAACCCTTTCATGAGAAGTGAGGGCTCTGGTGAAAACCTATTCCTCAACAGAGGTTCCTTAAGCAAGGCCTCAAGTTTTGAATTTTCAACATTGGGGATTACAACATTTTGCTCTACTGTGAGACGGAGCTCGCCTGAGCCATACTCATCAGCCAGCCGAGCTAGCTCGTCCATTTCTTCGCCCTGGACTCGACCAACCGGCACATGCAGACCCACAAAGCTAAAGCCCTCCTGTTTCTGTGGATGAACACCAAGATAGTCTCTTCTCTCCCACTGCTTTTGTACCAGGTCTTCTTCAGATGATCTCTCCAGCTCCTGTCCAGGCATTCTCTTCACCACCTCTGCTCGGAACCCTTCCACGCCCTACAAGGAAGGCATAACGGCAAGGAAAATAGTACTTCAGCTAATGGCGAAGCTTGTAAAAATCAACGACAGCAGGCGTTGCTGCAGTGCAGCATTTTAATTAACATCATATCTAGTCATCTTATTACTGTGCATAAGCAAGAATGATTTGATTTGCTGAAGACAAAGAAGAAGATGGGATTACTCACAAGTTCATCTATTAACCACATCATTCTAGTTTTCTGCCGGTTTCCTCTGGTACCTAGATCTCTATAGGCCTCCAGCACTGCTTTGCACACCGGGACTACATCATCGGCTGGGACCCAGGCATCCAGTGGCACCGCCTCTGCACATCTCTTGGGGCTAAAGAACCCGCCCACTAGCAAATTGAATCCAAATCGTCCATCCTTGGTGGCAGGCATGTAGGCGAGATCATTTATGTGGGGATGCTCAAAAAGATCATGAGATCCGACGACACAGACATTCCACTTCCTGGGTCTGCTCAGAAGAAATTAAACACACTACTGTTAATCATAACCAATTAACACAAGGTAAAGGTGTGGATATGAGGCGCAGGTGAGAAGGCAAACAGATGGAAAGAGCGAGGACACTCACAGGTTAGTGACCGCAGGATTACCACCGGAGTTGCCGGTGATGAAGTGGGAGAGAAGATTAGTGTAGGGGCGGGTGTCGACGATTTCATGTGGGTCAATGCCAGCAAGTGGATTTCCGACGGGGTTACGCACGTTGTCCATTCCACTCTGGAGGCTGGTCAAGCCAACCCGGACAAGGTCCTCCATTATCTCCGGCACATCAGGGAGTTCCACTCCACGTATCTGCCAGTTTTGCCTGGTCGTCACATCGCCACACCCCTCCTTGCCGTACTTCCTTATTACGCTCGCCAGGCAACGTGTCTGCTCGCTAGTCGTCACTCCATTCGGCAACTTCAGTCTCATCATAAATCTACCATCTGCCACAAGCAATTCAACACTCGAGTCAGAAATTGGGGTATTGGAGTTGGACTTGGACTTGGAGGGGTCAGACCCACAACCATCACCCCCCTCTCTCTCTCTCTGATGTTCTTTTAACCCTCCAGAGTCCAGATATTCCACCAACTGGGGCCTACATGTATTGATTAATTTTATTATAATCATCGGGTCTCGGGGGCAAATATTCAAGAGTCTCGCTCTCGTTATCCAACAATCCAAGCTTTGGCTTCTATCCTTTTGTGGCTATCCCATTCTCAGCCGTCAGCCGTGACGGGATCTGCTCCTCACAAATGGGCGCCTCACAGCACATCCATCATCATTAATAACATCTCCTGTGAATATTTATTAATAATGGAAATGTGCGCGTGAGACGCCAGTGAGTAGCAGATCCGGATAGGCGTAAACAACTCATCGGATACCAACCAATGAACCAACCTTGTGAGTTGTGAGTTGTGGCTAAAAATCTACCAAGGCGCGGTCCTAGCAGATCCAGAGTGAAAGGATTTCTGAGCCAGGTGCAATCTGGTCCGGGTTAATTTTAATAAAAATCAACCCAAGCGTAAGCCCAAAATGAGGTGTTGGAACTTGGAACTCCCAAGTCGCAACCCTAAGCTCATATTCAATGATTCAAGAGAACGGGTGAGAACGGTGATGGGAATGAGAATTTTTCATTCCCGTTAATGAAAATGGTAAATTTTAATTATTTTATTTTTATTTTTAAATAAAATAAAAAACAGAAACAAAATAATTACCATTACTGGAAATGGGATACTACGGAGAGGGGATCCTGGAGACGGGAATGGGATAACCTTGTCCCATTAGCGGAGACGGGGACAGGATGGGTTGGATTGGTCCCCGAACTTTGGGCCTAATGTCAGTTTGGTTCATGAACTTTAAAATGAAAACGTGTCAATTATCCAATTAGCCATTGAAAAGATAAATGCCTTTCGAAATATCATCTGATTTTCTTTATCGACCATTGCCTTAAGAATTGCCTCTTTCGGTGAAGTTATATTGGATCGACAGAATGCAGAAGAGAGAAGAGAATTAAATGACATTAAAAGGGCATTTGTATATTTACAAATGCTATTTAATGGCTGATTAATCGTAGCTACTAAATTGACATGTTTTGAAAAATTTTAAATTTTGAAGAATAAAGTGGCACTAACCCTAACCCAAATTAGAAGTCACTAATCGGGAATTTTCCAAAATTTGTTAGTGCTGCAATTAAAATTGTTGGTGTACATAGAAAATGTATACTCAATTTAGCTCGTCCATTGGACCTACTAACCCAAGAACATAAGTGGGCCTAACTTAGAGATGTCATACTTTGAAATTTGAATCTCGTCATCAGCAGCACGTGGGATATGGAATGTCAATGGCTAGTAAAGTGGAAAGGCCCAAGTCCTAACCCAATGAGAAAAGCTGACAAAGAAGTCCAAACCCAATTCCCAAACGAAACGAAGGAAGGAAGGAAGAGAAATGTGACAAGGAATGGAAATTGAACCAAAAGAATGATTTGTTAAGAAAGCAGGAAAGGGCTTACATTGGTGCTTCCTGCGATGGAAGAGGCCAAGCCACTTGAGGCGGACGTCAATATCGTCCTTGGTGAGCTTGGATTTCTCAATTTCTTGGAGAGGAGTCTTGGCAAGTTCGTTGATACCTCCCTCCATGAACAGCTTCATGGGTTCTCTCTCCAGCTTCACCTTCTCTTGTGGGTTGATTCCTTGCCTGAACTTTTCCTTGAGCACCCAGTATCCCTCCCTCTCCTCCACCCTCGGCTCCAGCCTCGACCCATCTACCTCCTTCGCCACCGACGGTGCTTCCGCCTGGCTCGGGGTCGCTGCCGCCGGTGCTCTCGCCCCTCGACGAGTCCTCCTCATAGAAGATGAGGACGGCACCGACGGTGCCAGAAACCGAAATGACGAGGAGGACATATCTTTTCCTTTGACGGTACGTGCACCTATTACGCACTATGAAGTATGGAGGCCCCTTTTTGTAATCGGCTCGGCAAGTCGGCAGCTCTGGGATCTCTTCTGTTTCTCTCTCTCTCTCTCACTGTTTGTGTGTGGCCTTCAACTCAATTCTAAAGGGGTAAGGACCAAGGACGTCCTTGGCATTGGCTCTTGGTGTTACCAAGGGTCGCGACTCGCGAGTTTGCCGTGGAGTCTGTTAAGCCCAATGGCAACGGACTAACGGAGGAGGCTAACTTGTGCATCAAGTGAGTACGCAAATATGGTTATCCCTTAAAATTAAATCAATACCATGAATATGGTATGGAGGGCCCACGTTGTGGAAAGACAAAAATCTGGACCATCGGATGTACATAATTGGTCTTCAATTCAAGTGGCTTTTAAAACAATTTAGGGACATCAAACAAGAGAGAAGAGAGAGAAAAAGAGGGTGGAACGTGGAAATTGGAAGGAAGACGGGTGACTGACTGACGGACGCCTGACGGGGGTAAGCTAAGCCTCTAAGGCAAGGGATGGAGTTGAGTTTTGGCCTCCAGAAGGTACGAAGAGACACAAAAACAAATAGGCTTGACGACAAGCTGCCACGCCCCTTCAAGGGTGTGCATGGGTTGTTAGTTGTTACATATAATATAATAGCCACATGTACTTTGTTTTGTCTACTTGTAATTTATTTTTATAAAAAAATAAAAATTATTACAATATATCGGTGAAGTTATGGGAAATCGGATCTGTTCCCAACAAGACACTACAGCCACACATCGCAGTATTACAAGGGAGATGTACTCGATGTACGGCTGGAGGGTGATGCCGCTTCTGGCCTCTGGCCCACCCATTGGAGCGAAGCGCCACGTAGGCAATTGCGGGTTCATGTTGGTTTAATCATGATGTATGTACATTACATGTATGAAGGTCTCAATCTATGAATATGATGTTTTTATTTTACGAAGGTAGTGGTGGGTTCAGTCTCTAATATCTAGCTAAACCTATGGAGATTATTGTCTCTCTCTCTATATATATATATTATCTAACGTCTGTTAATTAACGGTGCCAAACTCAGCTTAACACCATAGTCCATAGCTGGAGGAAGAAACCTGCGGGGCTTATAGTGTGGCTTACACAACCAGCGCAGACAACTTACCTTTCACTTCATTTACCCCGGCCCTCTTAGTAAATTTGCCAATTGATGACCACCTAGAGCTTTCAACACATATATCCTTAATCCACTGCACTTCACGATGGCATCCTTTCCAGAATTGATCGACACGGGTCAGACCTCTAAAAGCTCCTTTGCTGCTATCATTGCGGATTTCTGTGCATTTGATCAGGTTTAAATCGAACTCAAAGCCCCATCTTTCACTCAGTTTGGTGAACCAAGTTGCTTCTTTTCTTTAAAAGAAATCTCAAAAGGCTGTGAACCTTTTCGTTTAGTGTTGGTGGTAAAAGTCTCTTACGGGAGACCTCTTATTCCTGAGATCAAATCTCTGCTTTCCTCCAGATTCTACCTGAAGGACTTTGTGATTTTGGTGATTGATTACACCCATCTCCTATTTCGTTTTGTAGACGAAGAAGATGTTATTATTCTATCGACATTACTATCCTAGAATTAAGGAGAGATAATATTATTTCCTTAATTCTAGGAGAGACAGTCCTATCAAAAGTTGGTGTACCTATCCTCCTTGTATTCTAACTTAAACTAGCCGACCTTGTATCCCTGCCCTATTATAAATAAGGGTTGTAACCTGGTTGAAACATAGAATGCAGAAATATTATTTTCTCTTGTCTTCTTTATTGCTTCGTATCATGGTATCAGAGCCCATAGAAACTGGAGAATCAATCACCGGTGCATTGTACAGTCTCGGGTGATCACTCTCCAACCCGTAATCCATCATCGGACGGTACTCCAGCTCCTCGTCGTGATTATACACGAAGTCAGGGATCTCGATTTCGTTTCTCAGGACGTGTTCCCACAGAAATCCCAGCTTGCTAACTTTTTTTCAGTTGACAACGCTCCGTAATCAAAGTGGTTAGGATGACTCCAGCTGCATAGATGAACAGCATAATCTGGAATGAACCCATGAGGTAACCAGTGACAAAAGCCACCGTGGCAAATAAGACGAGCAAGATCTGCATCAGCTGTTCCGAGAGCTTTTGTCCTTGCCAATCCATCTGGTTTGCGGTTGTCAATCTCTATTATGATCTGGTACTCTATAGGCTATAGCTGACAGCTGCCGCAAGCCTTACCAGCTCTCAACTCGTTGAACGGTTTTTTCCCGATATTCCAGTCTTAATGCCGAAGATCCATACTGGCTAAGGCTTGGGATGGTGCTCGGCTTCAATAGGATCCAACCACTGGAGAGGATGTCGATTGAAGAGAACGACCAAAGGTAGCGAGGAAGCCTGGAATTCTCTTTGACGTTGACAGAGAGAGCCTCGTAGACTGATCGCAGAGTCGAAATTCTAAGGAAGTGTTCCCTCCTCTGAACATTGGTGTGCACGTAAAAGCTTTTCCTTGTAGCTTTTCTTTGCAACTGAGGAAAGATTTTCTCCTCCAAATACTTGTTCAGAGCTCCTCTCTGCAAAAGCTTGTCAGTATTAGGTTTTCCCTAATTCGTGTTACTGCAAAGTTTTGTGTCTCTCCTCATGGATTCATCTGAAGTTGCTCAACATATTTCTCATCCTATCACTGTTATCTTCGATGGCTCAAATTTTGATTTATGGTCCCAAGAGATGTGCAGTTTTCTCAAGGGACGACTTCTATGGCGATATGTGACTGGTGAGATTCCTAAACCTACTAAAGTTGCTGATGAAATAGAAGATAAAGTTTGTTGAACGCGTAGAAAGATGGGACGGAAAAAATCATCAAATATTAACCTGGTTTCGCAATACTTGTATTGCAAGCATCAAGTTGGAATTTCGCAGATATRACTCYCCTAAAGAGGTATGRGATTTCTTACAAGCTCGTTATTCTATTTCTGATGATGTACATCAGTTTCAACTCTATAGGCGCATTCATCGTATAAAGCAGCAACCTGAACAAACAATTCATAGTTATGTCTCTGAATTACAAGTTCTTTGGGATCAGTTAGCACAGTGTGAACCTGAATGGGATAGTACCTCTGCAGCCACTACTTATTCTAAGCTTCGCAATCGCCAATGTGTTTGGCATCTTCTGATGACTCTCAGGGATGGGTATGAACCTATTAGTGGACTCTACTTCATCGTAGCCCATTGCCTTCCCTTGACGTTGTAATCTAAGATTTGCTCTCTGAAGAAACCCGACTAAAAACACTTCGAGATGAGCGATCCTTATTATCTACTGATGTCGTTCTTGCTACTCCGGGTACGTTTGCTACTTCTTCAACTTCCTCTAAATCTTCAAAACGGACTTTCTGCAATTACTGCAAAAAGACTGGTCATACTATCTCTGAGTGCCGCCGATTGCAAGCCAAAAAGGCGTCTGGACAGAAGTCCTCGTCCGTGGGTTCTTAGGCTTCGAGTTTTACTGCAGCTGCTGCCACAAAGGATTCTTCTGATAACACCTCTCCAAAATTTTCTCTTCGAGAACTCCAAACCCTTCTTCACCAACTGCAACCTGCTTCTGGTATGACTTCCAATTCAATCTTGTCCATCATTCCAGGTACTACCTCATCATGGTATTTTGATTCTGCCTGTTGCAATCATATGACATCCAATTCATCCCTCTTTACTTCCAAGTCACATCCCTCCATTGCACCAATTTTTCATATTGCTAATAGTTCCACCTTAACTGTCAAAAGTGTAGGAACTATTTCAACACCTCGTTTATCACTTCCTAACACCATTTTGGTACCTCAATTATCTCTAAATCTTATATCTGTTGGACAATTATGCGAACTTGGTTTTGAAATACATTTCTCAAGTCGTGGTTGTACTGTGCAGGATCCACGGACAAGGGAGATCATTGGGACAGGCCGTAAGGTTGGGAGACTATTTGAGCTATCATCTCTCCAATTACCATCCCTTGCTACTGTTGTCACTTCTAGTGTCTGGCATGCTCGTCTTGGTCACATTTCTACCTCTAGGTTAGGATCTTTAATTTATAATGGGTGTTTGGGTCCTGTTAAAACAACTCACTTTGATTGTGTTTCATGTCCTCTTTCAAAACATCATGCTTTGCCTTTTAATACAAGTGATTATGTTTCTTCTGCACCTTTTGATCTTATTCATTTTGATATTTGGGGACCTTCGCCTCATAATACTATGGGTGGTTCGCGTTATTTTGTGATTTTCATTGATGACTTCTCTCGATATACATGGATTTATCTCATGCGTAATAAATCTGAACTACCTGCGATTTATATTCAATTTGCCACCATGATCAAAACTCAGTTTTCCTCTATCATCAAAATTTTTCGCACTGATAATGCCATGGAATATCAAGATTCTACCTTTATCCAATTTCTTTCACAAAATGCGGTACCTCTCAACAAAATGGACGTGCAGAATGAAAACATAGGCATATTCTTGATACTATTCGAGCTCTTTTAATCTCTTCCTCTTGTCCTGAACGACTTTGGGGGGAAGCAGCCCTCACTGCGGTTTATACCATTAACCACATTCCCTCTTCTGTTATTGGTAACATTTCTCCTTATGAACGTTTGTATGGCCATTGCCCTGATTACCAATCTCTTCGTGTGTTTGGTTGTGCATGTTTTGTTCTATTACAACCTCATGAACATACCAAATTGGAACCAAAAGCACGTCTATGTTGTTTTTTCGGGTATGGTATTGAACATAAAGGATATCGATGTTGGGATCCTCTTTCCCAACGACTTCACATATCTCGTCATGTTACCTTTTGGGAACACAAAATGTTCTCAAGTCTCTCCCAATTTCGAGTTACCACGACACCTTCACATTTCTTTATTGATCCTACTATTTCGCTTTTTCCTGATGATTTGCCTACGGGTCCGACTACTTCTTCCTCTGATAGCTCTAACAGTATTGCACAACCTACAACCTCTCCGACTGCATCTACCTTGGTTGTGGATCCTCCAACCCTACCCTCTTCTGAGCCCTTGGTTGCTCCTGACGAGTTCGACTCTGACCGTTCTG